GGGGGGGGGGGGGGTACGTGATAAAATACGGTATACCAATCTGGTCATTGATCAATATATATTTGGTTTTTATTAAGCATTTTAGTTTTCTGAAATATATTAGAACTATGGAATTTACACACACTCTCAAGTATATGTGATCACAAAATGGCTGTATCATTTTTAAAAGGCAAGATCCCATGTAGTCTTGTTGCAGTATATGGTCATGAAATCTCAGGAATTCACCACTTAAAGAAGAATTATACTTAACAATCACTTCTTTAATTTAGGAAAAAAGCTATAGTTCCAGCACTATACTTGCAAATATAATCTTGAACATATGCACCAATCCATTCTGAGACTGCAGAGAGCTGGAAACAAGCTAAGTGCAAACTGACTCATTCATCTCAATGAAGGGCTCTACAGAGTCTACAACTTATCTTAATTTTTTTCCAAGCTGACATTATATTCAATGTTTTTCCTGCGTAAGTTATCTCTGCTGGAACTAAAGGACCAATTTCTTGTTTTCTTACTCTATGGCCACCTTGTGCACTCCCACTTTTCACCCCCAAGGGAAAGTTAATTGCTTTAATATGTTTCCCGCAATCAATGGAGCAAGGCAGTGCTGTAGTTCAGTTTAAAGTCCAAGGAAGAAGGTGGGGGGGCGCTCTGGAGTGTATTTGTATACAAATAACAGTTATGTCTGTATAGAAATGCAAAGGGAAATATAGTTTGGTGATAAAATAAATGTATTATGTGGAATTTAACCCTCAGTGAGCTGTAAAGAACAGGGCCTTCAACATGCCCTGTATGATCATGCCTTGTATGATTGTATCTATATAATTATATTAAAAATGCAAGGTTCAGGAATTTAGTATAGACTCTTTCACTCATTAAAAGCTTTCAGTTAAATATGTCTCGAAAATGAGTGTCATTCTTTCAGAAACATAACAGAGAAAGCAATTAATAATTCAAAACAATAATTCACAAAAGAACTCTTAAGTTAATCAGCCTAGGTATGTAAGAAAATCAGTTGGAAATAAGAGCTAATTGGTTCTTATTAGAAGGCAAGCACAGATTATTGTTTCCTTCCGCATTACCTTCCTACATTATCTCATACCACAAATACGATCTGTAGTTGGTAGCCTTCCTAAGCACTTAGCTATGTACCTCAAACAATAAGACAATTACACTGCACTAAAACACAGTGTTGTCTCTCCCTGTTTGAAACTACTGAAGATATTTTAAAAAGTACAAAAAAAAAGGTGAGTGGAAACAATTTGTGAAAACAGTCTTGAGTGTTTAAAAGAAGGGTTCCATTTGTTTTATGGTTTTGTTGGTTCCCCATCTACTGACACTGGCATAGTATACTAATCTCAGAGCTACAACTGAATAATCTGTAGAAACATTAATACAGTAATAAATAACTTTAAAGTATCATTAAACATACTTAAGAACCATAAACAAAAAACAAAATTCAGTACAATTCAGTAAATAGTTTTACAGAAGAGTCAATACATTCCAAATACATTCCAAAATTCCAGTCTCAAGTTAGCCTACCTGCCAGCAAATGATCCATTTAGTGAATTCTGGAAGCTTGTATTGGCTGAACCTAAAGAAGCATTAAAAATGCCCTGCTGAGAACTACCATTGACTGGACTCCCGTTACCTTTCAGAATGCCAGTGCACTTCCAGTTGTCCATGTAATTAGCTAAAATACATAAAATGAATTTACTTTCCATCCCCATATTCAAGAACATTTGATATTATCACAACTTAGACAGATATTCAGCCCGTGGAAATCGGAGAAGTTTGACAATTCAATGGCACTACATCAATGTAAAAAACAAGCGTCCATCTGGCTTCATAACAGCTTGAGATTCTCTCACAGTCCTCCTTAAATTTAAATAGAAGCTTATTCCAGAAGCCACAGAAATTAAACATTTGCTTCCCCATTATTGGTCTGAGTGACAGACCAAATAAGAGTGACAGGCTACATAATTCATAGTTCCTGGTCTCCCTAAAAAGATAAAGATTTGTGAACTAGCTGCAGCGAAGAGCTGCACACAACCACCCAGGTATTTCACCTGTTTTCTGCAGCTTTTTTTTTTTTTTTTTTTGTGCGCAGCTTCCTTCTCCTATTGGCTATACAGGATTGTGGTTGTGCTCCAGAAGAATGGAAAAGCAGCACCCTTTGGAGTCAAGGTTGCAACAATCAACTTGTTCTTAATTTAGAAGCCCACTGTAATTAAGCAGGTCACAAACCACCCCTATACAAAAAGGCAGGTTAAACTGTATTTTCGTGATATTAATTGTAGTAAGCATGAATGCACTACGTTTAATGTTCAAAAATTAATCTGGGTCAGCTTGAAAATAAAAGTCAGACTTTTGACAGAAACTGTGGGGAGAACAGGCAGTTCCAAAACCTGAACCTTAAAAGAGAAATTCAGAGACTAGAAGCATTTAAAATGTAGGCTTATTGAAAACATATTATGAAGTCCATGGATAGCAAAAAAATAAGTCTGTCCACTACAAAAAGACTGGTCTGGCACAAGATCTCAACATAATCAATAGAAGGGAGTGAAAATTCTTTTGACGTGGTTAGAGAAGAAGAAATGCCTACAAAAGAATCAGCATTTCATAACTTAGAATTCTGTATATGTCTGACATTTAGCTGGACCATGTAGGCTCATTAACCAAAGTCACCTATGAATGCTTATCATTTGAATCTGAAGTAGTAAGCATTTTGGATCACAAATTATGATTAGGAACCTACCTAAATCACAGCAGAAGTTTGGGGTACAGCAGTACCTTTAATCTCTTTTTGCTGTACAGACCCCCTCCCTCTGAGTGGACAAGAGGCAAGTAATGCCTTGGTTTTGTCCCTAGACCACTCAGTTGACAGAGGGAAAGGGGCACAATGGCGAGAAGAACAAGATTAAAGGCACTGCTACCCCACAAACTTCCATCATGATTTAGGTAGGTGCCTAATTAAGATACATGCTACTATCGTGGTCTGAATAAAATACTGAACAGAGTGCCCCATTACGTCCATATACAGAAGGTTTGACTTCCTTTTTCCAAACACACACAGGAGTACTAAGACTTGTTCACAAACTCAAAAGCCTTGTGCAGGAAGAAGTTAAATTTCTGTATAGATTCTCCCAAAAGTCAGTATTCAGTTGAAGTAGATAAAATATCTGACCTGCACTGCTCTTACCTTTCCATAGCCTAACACAGCCATCATCACCAGATGATGCAAGCACTGTGCCAGTAATATTCCAGCTCACTCGCCAGACCTGGGAGTTGTGATTATCAAACTGAGCCACTATGTGAATTTCAAATTTTGTTAATCCTCCAGAAGAAGTCAGTTCTTTCCTGTTAAAAGAAAACATATATCAGGGTAAAGGTCTGCAAAAAGAAGAACATTAAGGCAGGAGAAACATTTAGACTAGGGATAGAAATAACACATAAACCAGTGTACAACCACTTTCAAAATGGCAGAAACCAGTTTAAGATAAACCTAGATGGATTCAGTATCAGACTTAACTGATTTACGTTACATTGGTTTATTGAACTTCTATCCTAGATCCTCTCCAGATTCAAGTTAACTCACAGTCTCCCAACATCCCAAGATGCTTTACATCTCCCTTACAACTCTCCCCCTCGCAGAGTAGGCGGGCTATCCTTGGCTCAAGCTTTCCACTTCAGCCAAGGAGGGAGGTGTGCTCTAGCACCCCCTGACTTCTGGCCTGGGCCACTGCAGGCATATGACTGCATTTCCAGAATCAAAAGTGAATGTCTGTTCGCTTATTTATTGGTTCAAACTATGCAGCTTACACTAACCTGCGAAGACTGAATCAATTCAGTCTTGGACTTTTTGATCATCTGTACTTAGCCTTTAAGTTCTAAAAACCCAAGTTTTCTTTAATGTGTAGTTTTCCAAGAAGTGTGCATGACAATAATGTGTTGGACTCATCAAGCAAAATAGTTTTGCTAGTTCACTGGTTGCCTTAAACGAGACATGTCAAAACCGGTAACCTACCAAAGCTGGTAGCATGGTGATAAAACATGTTGTGCTATTCCACACACTGTCACCTGGAAACAGCTGTGCCACTTTAGCAAGTAAGCTAATCATCTCTGCTGAGAAACATAACTCTTTAACCCAGATTCCATACTAATAATGGACTAACACCACTTATGGCAGTTCACTACAACCAATCATGAGCTAGCATGTACACAGCAGTACAGTATATTTCAGCACAGTACAGGCTAGCATAAACATATTCCATAACAACAGTACAGACATACCAGATGATTGATAAAAAGCACCTCTTTCTGAACAGACTTGCTAAAATATTTAATACTGTGCCCACCACTTTAACAGGCCAGACAGTCTGCAGAACCGCTGGCAGGTGACGTCACACCTAATTAGGAAGTCAGCAGACTCAGGAGATGGCAAGTGAGGCCAGGCCTGATCAGGGGAGCCATCTGATTGCAGTGGGGATGCTTGATTGGAAGAGGGCTGGGCTTAGACAGGGTATAAGCCCAGACCCTGGGAACAGGGCTGCCAGTAACATCCTGGGGGCCATGGAAGAAACGTAACCCAACAGAAAGGCTGAAGCTCTTGACTGCCAGTACGGAGAATAATGTCTCAGACCTGTGAAGATTCGGGTAGGCACCATGAGGATGGAGAAGGTTCCTGGGGACCCAGAGGAGATCCAGAGCCCTGGAAAGGGGGCCGAGTGCCTGGGCCTGTTGAGAGGACAGGTAAGGCTGGAAAGAGTGGCCTAATGAGAGGCCCAGACAGCCCAAAGAGCAAGGGGCTGTGTGCATGGGGCCTACAGAAAGGCCAGCCCAGCCCAGTGGAAGAGGAGCTGTGTGTACAAGGATCTAGAGAAAGGCAAGGCCAGCCCAGAGCAGGGCTTGGAGGTTGGGGCCTACTGAGGGGCCACATGAGCCCTGAGTAAGGGCCTGAGCAGCAGGGACACCTGGTAAAAGAGGCCTGGGCATGACCTGCAAGTGAGGCACAGTACACGGGCCCATTGATGGGTCCAGGGATGCCCAGAGAAGACAGCAGCTGTGTTGCATGATTTAGGCACAGCTTCAGGCCCACCGAGAGAAAGTGACTGAACCATGGAGGGGCCCAAGAAGGTGGACCAACGGAGATGGTGGGACTGACGGCTTGAATAACTGATCAAGGACCTTGACTGGCCAATGCTGGGGCGAGGGTCTCAGACAGGCCAAAGGGTGAAAACTCACCACGAGAGACAGCCAGAGGTGGACTGTCTGGAGTCTTGACTGGCCTGTCAGTGGGGCCAGGGCCTGGAGAGGCACAAAGGTCCCTGGATGGGGACCACTGCTGAGAAAAGGAGTCAGAGGGTATACAGTGTGGATTACAATGGCTGGCGCTAAGCCATCTGAAGATGGGGTTTAAGCGCAAGCTGGGGGCCAGAGATACAGAACAAGAATAGAGATGGAGTCCAGATCAAAGGTAGCGGCCTAGGAGAGGCGCAGGACATCTAGGGGTAACCCAGAGAGATGGATGGAGGATCAGGTAGACCTGAAGACTGGTCCTGAGTAAGACCTAAAACTGCACCTTGCTGGAGTTGGTTGGCATGGTGGGGCTGCTGTGGCGGGGCAGCCTCAATGAAATACCACACATGGGCCACTCCAGGAGAAGGTGAGGATGGGGTGCCGGAAAGCCTCATCCCCCACTGCCTTGGGGGTGACCCTGTGGGGGGGGGAAGGATATGAGCACAACCCAACAGAAAAGCACTGGGCAAGAGAAAATGTGTGGAGCATGGAAGGTCCAGCAGGCCCAGGGAGAAAGACCTGAGGCCTAAATTGAGTGAGAGGCATAAGGGTCTGAGGGCCCAGAGAAGAGCTGTACCAGTAACAAGCGGAACACTTGTAAGAATTATGCCTGTGCAGAGTGGCTAGTATTTGCTTCAGATTCAGCCAATTCAGAGGACAGTGATTCAATTTGGTGATTTGAATCACTGTCCCAAATCGATGTGGAGATTTGGCTGCTGCCAAATCTCCAAATTGCCTGGGAGGGCTCTGCCACAAGTCCCCAGAGGCCTGAAAGCTGCTGCAGCAGCCGGTGAGTGCGGGGTTATTTTTAAGCACTGGGATGCTAGGGCCGGGCAGAGCATCTGTTAATGGGTCTGGGACAGCGGGCAGGTGTCGCGGTGAGGCTCAGGGGGGCTGGGGGAGCAAGCAGGGAATGGGGGGGTTCCCCCAACCCAATGTGTCGTCCCGTGTGCCCCCCCACAAAACTACTTACCAGCACGGAGTCCAAGTCCAGCCCCCTGCAGCAGCGAGCAGGAACTGCCCAAATCTCCCCAAATCAATTCTGAGAGCTTTGAATCAATTTGGACCTTTTTATTTATCTCCCAATTCAATTCAGATTCAGAAATTCGGCTGTCAAATTGGGAGGAATCTCCTCTGAATCGAATCAGCACCTGAAGCTTCGCATAGCCCTAGTAAGAATGCCATCTGCAAGGCATGGGACAGTGTAGGGCAGGTACGGAGCTGTGTAACTGACCCATGAGGCCAGGACCGCAAGTCAGGGGTTATTATAGTAAGATCAGGGCAGCCTTCCTCAATGTGTATATCTAATAACATTCAAGATATGGCAGGCAAGAGGTGGACTGTCCCTAAAAGTATTATCCAAAAATTTTTGGATGCCCTGGTACACCCTGTTACAACTACAAATAATTTGTTTCACTTCCAGAGAGTAGGACGACATAATTATGTAATTTTGTATTAAGAATCTGCTTCAAAAGCTCACCTTAGAGGTTTTAGCGTGAAAATTCGTACATCTTTGGTTGCCACAGCTAAGATATGGAAGGATCTTCCTAGGTTAGGAGCAAATGCAATATCATGCACAGGATCAGTGACTGTCATGAGAGCTTCTGCTTTTGCATACTTCCTAAAGAACAACAGACAAGTTATGTATTAATTGAGACCCAATAAAAGGTTTAATGATTCAAATAATGTGGAAGGAAATACTGTAAGTGACCAGAGCCAAGACTATCAAATATAGAATAACATTTTCTTCATAGACATTCAACAATAAATATTTTTAATTAATGTCTTAAAATATAGTCACAAACTAATTACTTCCATTTAATTGTAATCATTTGTGTTCAGTGAATAGACCTCTGCTTCATTTACTATATTGTTTCATGTACACAAGGTTCAAATTATGCTATCATCTATACCAGGATAAACAGTATTTATTTTCTTGACTAACTACAAACCCAGAAACAGCCAGGCACCCATACAACTCCCATGCCTCACTGACTATGCTACAGGCATACTATAGAATGTCTGTATTTGACAATGGAATGATTTAATGTAATTAAAATACCACAAGTACATCTTTACATTATTTAATGAAGAGTGCTTAACTTTACAAACCTAATGTTTCATTAAAAGTTTTTTATAGCATGCAAATGATTTGCAAGAATTTTTACCAATGACTTATTAAAATGTAAAATATTTTACAAGTTTTTAAAAATAATAGTGCACGGATTACTATTTTGACTTAAAAAACCAACAGCAATCACAGAACCATATTAACCTTGGCTTTGCTAAGTTATGCACATACTTACTTTTAACATAAGGATTAGTAGGATCAGAGGCTTAGATCCTCTGAAAATTCCAGCAATAGTAAACCATTTGAATCATCAGATTAACAGAAGTTTGTAAACCCATTTCAAGAAGCATCAGACAACATTTTGATATTCCTTGATCCTCTCCTCTACCGACTCTACCATACAGCAACATACAGAGCAACCATTTCCAGAGACTTCTCTCAATGTCCATATTTTTATTGAATTTTTTTCCTGTCTCTAGGAAGTGCATTATTTTTCTACTTCTCTTTAAGCACAATATCAAGAATTATTTAACTAGTCATATGTTATGCACCAGCAAATAACCATTTTAAGTCAATTTCAAAGATTACCTTAATTTTTTAACATACCTGGTGTTCTCATTATATTCATAAATCTGAACCTTAGCCAAAATATTTGGACTGTTGTCATCACTTCCAACAGCTATCATTGGAGAATGTGCTCGAGAGCTAAACAGGGAAAAGTAAATGATGCTAGGTTTACAAATGATTCCTAGATAAGCAACACCATAAGTATCACAGAAAGAACATTAAAAGAACAGTTTGCAAAAAATCAGGGCAAAAGTTAAGTGTTATCTATAGCTGTCAGCTGAAGCTTTAGTTCTGCCAATTTGCAATTCCATCCTGTGCACTGTTATAAGGAGGCATCTTGTATAATATGTATACAAGGATTGTCATAATATATATGGGGTAGAAACTGGGTTGCATAAGCAACAGTCAGTCCAGCATTTCCTAACTTTCAAATGGCTGAAGTTCTCTTGCTTGTGATGCTGACAGTCCCACAGCATATGAATCAGGAGGGTTTGAGCCTGCAGCACTGAAAAGCAAATTACTACTACAGGATTTGCTTCACTTGCTGAGTTCAGGAAGACTACCTTCCTTCTATAAGAATGGATAAGTTGCTGGATCTAGGACAGAGGTGTCTAAAAAAGCACAGTTCAGACTGGCTCTCTCCACCATTCCTGCTATTGAGAGAGTTTTTTGTCCCATACACTTCTCTGAAGCAAAGGAATTAATGCTTTTTACTGGGTCTGCGGTAGCTGACTGAAAATATAGTAACCTGGGAGCTTACTAAGGAAACCCACTCAGGCTCTCTCTTGCCATCTTTCTCTTAGTGCTGCTTCAGCATCTCCCTTGTTTCTTAATGCAAGAGATGCATTGTTACTTTGGCAGCGGCATAGACCCAACCTAAAATTTTTACTTACTCCTAAGTGTCAGAATTGGAGAGAGAGTGGGTCAAAATTTTGAGTATTTTTCTTCTAGCCCTAACATGTATCTACTCTAACACGTGAAAATTTAGATTTTTATTCCATTCAGTTTCAGACTAAGCCTTAGATTTGCTTTTCAATTAATCATAAAATCTTAAGTGATGCTATTTAACATACCTTGAAGGATTCCAAGAAATACAACTGCAGCTTAGTTTACATGATATTTCATGCTGCAGTGACCACTGACTGAGATTCATAACATCTGGGGCTTCATATATCCTCACTACTCCATCTGCTGAACAGGTTGCTAACATAAGACCCATATGCTTGGGAGCAAATTTTACATCTGTAACAGATGTTCTACTGTCTACCAGTGTGGTCCTCTTTACCTGCAGACAAATACAGAAACCATTAAAGAAAGAAATGCTTATGAGGTTCCATTAATCATATTTTCACTATTATACACCAGGGAAGCCTGCTGTACACTTTATAAAGCAATCATATGGCCACATAAATTGTCATATACTTGTGCTCTAAAGTCTAGTGTCCACAGACACCTGGAAAAAAAAAGTTACTGGCTTACACATACTTTTTGCACCAAATTAACTAAATCTGTTAAATAACTAATCTAGTTAACTGTACCTATGGTTCTATTTGCATGAATTTAAGTGCATTAATATTGATATGATTTACTTAAATTTACTAAACAAATATATTTCTGCACCATAGCAGCTGTGCATGTAGACCAACCAATGTTTAGTCTCTTATATATGGAAAGATAATCTTCAAATGTGTATTCCTAAAAATAGTTTCTATTCTAATTGTAGACTGCTTAAAGCCATAGGTCTGGAAGACATGAGCTACTGTTGTCATATTAACACATGCTTATCATAAAGCCTACTGACCACATTTTTACATGTCAGTGCTGGAACACTAATATTTTTGGTGCTGTATCAGGAAGCAATACTATCTAGTTATTTAAAACTAGCTTGACAAAGTCTGTAGTGTATATTGGAAGACAATCTTTAATTAAAAGAGGTAATGAGCAAAACATGGCTTTTTTCACTATCTTTTTGTTCAAGTGATTTTTCATATTTTTTAGGTTCAGGGTCCCCGATATGTTAGACTCAAGGCTCCCCTCTCACCTTTCACTTGTTGTTTGACTATGGGGAAAGAACACAATTATTCTAATGCAAAGAACTCAGAAAGATCATAACATCTCAGAACATTTTTTGACACTGGTTTCCTATTTGGAATCTCTAAATTTATTTTGTTAATCATATCCAAGTGTTTATACACCTAGTAGTGCCAATATCACACAACACCCTCCAACTCTGGTTTAGTTATTCTTTATTAAGAGAGACACTTCAGAAAATGAGATGCACTCTTCGGATGTATTTCAGAATAGAAAGTGGGATTAAGACGTGAAGAGAAAAAAAATAAGGACATCAAAGGACATCAAAGGACAATTGGAGTTTTAAACAATTTTTAACATTAAAAAATTTAGCCCTGTCATTCTGAAATTTTAACCACTGAAACTGTGGTCCTTAATTATAAACAATAGACAAGGCACAAAAAACATGAAAACAAACATGCCTGCTCAAAACCAATGTTAGCATTTCAAGTCTCACCCAGTGACTCTGCCCTCGGAGTTTATCATTCGATTCTCCCACTATTTCTTCCCACACAGCAGCAGTTCTGTCAAAAGAGCAAGAAGCCAGAACCTGTCCAAATTCAGGATGAGCCCAGGTCACACGCCAGACAGACCCACTGTGCGTCTGCAAAATACAAAAAACACTGTCATCTGTAGAATGAAAACATTTCTACAATTCCAAATCATCTAAAGTTCACCTCTTGCATTAGTAGTTCTCTGACGGGGAAAGAAGTTACAGCTGTACAAAGGTATCAAATCTAGACTTCAGACTCTCTCTCAAGAGAATGCTCACTAAAAAGCTGCAAATTCTCTATCAACTATATTAAATATTAAAGACCACATTAAAGAAAAACTAGTTACCACAAACATCAACCACCAAAGGTCAAATGATAAACTTTATTCACCAATATTACAGATTGCTATGAAACTCCTAAATTTCAAATAGTAGTTCAAGTGCTAATTATTTTGAATTGTTTCCAAATGAAAGTGATATTTTTCCACTACCACCCATTGCCATTATCACCTATGGCTCCTCTGTGCTTCTTTCAAGTCTGTGTTGAAGAGAACTTACATCATCTTCCTGCCTCTTTGCAGCACCTTTCTCCAAAGGAGTAATGTCTCTTATACCTCTCTAGCTGCACATATTTTTTTCCTAGAGGAAAATGGCTTCAAAGCGTTACCTGATTTTCTAAATATAGGACTATAAGATTTAAACTCCATTTTATAAACTCAAGAGCAATTCAAAATTTGATGTCCCTGTTCTGCTCTGGAACTATGCTGACTAACCTTGTTATAAGACAGTTCTCAGAAAAAGATAGGAGGAGTTACAGGGAAAAGTCGTATCTTATAATATCTGATTTATTTTTGCAATTTCCAAAACAAGAGATTATCTCATTCCAGAAATTCACTGCTAAGTAAGTGTAAAAGTAACCAAAATACTCTACTGAATTTTTAGTCTGTACTAGCCCCTGAAAACACTTCCCTGTTACTAATAACATATTCTGTAAATTTTATCTGGTACAGGACTACATTACCACCACAGTTTTAAGTCTCTGAAACCTAGCATCAGATGCCTACTTTCTTTTTAAATGAGAAGCACTGAATT